TGCGTGCCGGGACTCGGTTGCTGCGTCCTGGGACTCGGTTGCTGCGTGCTGGGACTCGGTTGTTGTGTGTATATATATATATATATATGTGTGTCAATATATATGTGTGTGTGTGTGTGTGTGTATTGTATAGATGTATACATACTGATGACTGATGATTTGTTTTGTATATTGTACCGTGTTATATGTATATAGGCAGATGGGGTTCTTTCTTTCAATGGTGTTATTTTGAAAGGGTTGTATTGTACCGTGTTATATGGTCTTCGTTTCCATGGTAGTTTTGTGGTTCGTTGTGGTTAGGGAAAGGGGTTCGGTCCCCTTCGTCTTTCCATCCCGCTCCTCAATAAATAAAGCAGAAAATGGGATGACATGGAAATGAGAGTGTATATGTAGTTGTGGGGAGGTGGTGGACATGCACCTTGGGGTGCGAACGGAACTGATGCAATGGTTTGCGATTTGGTGTGGATGTCGTTGTTTGTTATCCTGTGGGACTGTTGCTCTTGTGTGGTTTGGATGCATCAAAAATGCCTTCCAGCGCGGTTATCACATTAGACGCATAGGTTTCCCATGCGAGTGCGACCCACGGGTTGTTGTCCTATCCTTGGTTCGCCAGAGTTTCGCGAGTAGACCAAAAAGTCGTGGTTCGTCGTTGGTTGACTGTGGTAGGCAGTCTTAGTGTGCTTTTGCGGAGGGGATCGTTTTTCTGCATGGTTGGGACACAAATATGGATGCTGGGCACGTGGGCAATGGTCAACGCCCTTTGCGGTCCGGGCCTTGGCGGGAAGCACTTATGCTTCACAGATCGTGCGATGATATCTCGCACGCTCCGCACGTGTTTCCGGACCACCTTCGATTGCGGAGCGGTTCGTGCAATGATAGTGTAGATGCACGTGCGCAAGCCACTGGGGGCTTAGGGACGACGGTCCACGATATCCCGGAGGCGGGAGATTTGGTTGGGGTGGAAGGTGCGTACAGCGGTCGATGGACTGCTGTGGGCAATGGTCATTCCCGTGAGTCGGAGTCTTTGCCCTTCGATGCATCTGCGGCTGCGAATTTCCTGGCACAGGGTGGGTACGGGGTAGCTGGTCGTTCAACGGCACGTTCACGGGTCAATGCACAGACGTCGACGTTCACTACGCCTAGCTGCGGTCTTCAAGGCATTGCGCCGCGAAGTGGTCATCTTTCACCGCAGCCCGTGGCGGAACCCTTCTCCGCGCATGTTTCCGAAAGACCTGGGGGTTGGGCCGGGAAGCCGAAGAGGAGACGGTGTGAAATGCCGGTTACGGCGCCCTCTGCGGACGGTCGTAACAGAATGGATCGTACAGGTGCGCGAGCTTCGGTTGCACCGAATCCCGTTGATGCGATGGCGCGTCGTACGTGGGTTGGTGGTCCGTTGTGTCAGGCAGCTTACGAGGATATCACCAACTGCTCGACTCCTCGGTTTTCTCCAGAGTTCTTATTTTTACATTCGCTCCTTTTTTTTTCGGACACATCGTTGACGCCGGGTTCGGGATCGCGGGGCTCTCCCATGGCCGGTAGGAACCTTCTTGCCCGCGATCGATGTTGCGCGGCGTTCGATGTGATTACGATGGCCGAAAAAAACACGTTGTCCTCGGGTAGCGGTGCGCGAAATCCGAGTATTCGATGGGGTGAACATGAGCGCACGATTTGCAGAGGTGCACCGGGTGATTGGCGTGCCACGGGGGTGTGTGACATGGGGAGCTGTCTGCCCCGCGGTGATACCTGTTTCGTAGACGAACAGGGTCACAAATGGCGGTTGAACGAGTGCGCAGGCCGGACAGGAGGACAGCGGGGCGCCGTGGCTGAAGCGCGGAGGCGCAGCGATGAGTTTGGTGGTCGCCACGGTTGGCTCGAGGGGGGGTCTCTCGGGGCTGTGGTTCCTCCGGGTTGCTCGGTGTCGTGCCCCGGTACGGGTAACGTGGCTTTTGAACGAGGGGAGGGCTGCAGAGTAGCTCCGGATGTTGATTCGACGTTGTTTGGAGACAGACACGTGTTTCAGCTTCCACTGGAAGTGAAGTGGGAGCCCTCGTGTGTGCCGCAAAGTGTGCGAGGTGCGCTTGCTCTACGGCTCGCAACTCCGACTGGCTCGATGCGGAGGGGCGGTTTGCGGCTGCGGAAGCCAGGGTGGGCGGGGGGTTGTCTCGACCTCTCCGGAAGCGCAATGCGGGATTGTCACGACGACAGCGCAGTCTTATATCTCAGCTGGCCAGAGTGATTTCGCCGGCTTCTGCGTGCGTCGTGCGGAGTTCGGCCGATGGTCGCGTGGGTGGTGACAGGACGGGTCGGTCGGTTGGGCAGGGGTCGGCAGCGAGCGTGGCGATTGCGCGTGCGGCTCGTCAGTTGAGAGTGTCGAGGCGACGAAAGCGTAGAGCGTCGGCACGTGCCGGGGACAGCAGTGGCGAGCCCCTGAGGTTTCTCGATGCGCCTGCGGGTTGCCATAGTCGGGGAGAGGGAAGGCGGAGGGGGGACGGGAACGTTGGGGTTGGAAGCGA